AATAGAAATTGGCGACAGGGATGGAGAAGCAACAAGCTACGGAAACCTAGGAACATTGTTCCAATCGCTTGGTCAATATGACAAGGCCCGAGAATATCAGGAGAAAGCACTCGCTATCAGAATAGAAATTGGCGACAGGGATGGAGAAGCAACAAGCTACGGAAACCTAGGAACATTGTTCCAATCGCTTGGTCAATATGACAAGGCCCGAGAATATCAGGAGAAAGCACTCGCTATCAGAATTGAAATTGGCGACAGGGATGGAGAAGCAACAAGCTACGGAAACCTAGGAACATTGTTCCAGTCGCTTAGTCAATATGACAAGGCCCGAGAATATCAGAAGAAAGCACTCGCTATGAAAATAGAAATTGGCAACAGGGCTGGAGAAGCAACAAACTACGGAAACCTAGGAACATTGTTCCAATCGCTTGGTCAATATGACAAGGCCCGAGAATATCAGGAGAAGTCACTCGCTATCAGAATAGAAATTGGCGACAGGGCTGGAGAAGCAGCAAGCTACGGAAACCTAGGAGCATTGTTCCAATCGCTTGGTCAATATGACAAGGCCCGAGAATATCAAGAGAAAGCACTCGCTATCCGAGTAGAAATTGGCAACAGGGATGGAGAAGCAGTAAGCTACGGAGAGCTAGGACAATTGTTCCGATTGCTTGGTCAATATGACAAGGCCCGAGAGTATCAGGAGAAAGCACTCGCTATCAAAATAGAAATTGGCGACAGGGATGGAGAAGCAGCTTGTTATAGAAACTTAACAGCCTTGTTTTTTTGCCTGAAAAAGTATGCAAAGGCCGACGGCTATCGAGAGAAGGCAAGGGAAATTGGATTGGATATCGGTGACAGAGGCGGAGAAGCAACAGATTACGGACACCTTGGGGAAATTTGTGTTCGGCGAGGCGAATTTGACAAGGCTCTAAAACATTACGAGAAAGCCCTTGCAATTCACATGGAAATCGGTTACAGAGAAGGAGCAGCAGTCGATTACGTAAATTTAGGATTTTGTTTCCGATCCCTTGGTAACTATTCTATGGCCGAAGAATACCTCAAGAGGGCTCTCCTATTAAGCAGGGACATTGGACATCACTTGAACGAGTTTCAAACCCTTTGTGATCTATCGGTGTTGAAGGTGTCACAATCTCATCTTGAAGAAGCCTCCTCGTATCTTTTTCAAAGCATCGATAAATTCGACACTTTGAGAGGTTCTCTCAAAGACAACGATGGGTTTCAAATATCTCTTTTAGAAGAGCACGGCGCCTTTCCCTACAAGTTGCTAAGTCACTTGCTCTCTTTCACCGGAAAGTCACAAGACGCCCTTTACGTCGAAGAGCTGAGACGGGCAAGAGGCCTAGCTGACTTGATAGCAGCTCGGTACTCTGTTCAAGAGCATATCTCAGGAAATCCACAATCTTGGTGTGGCATTCAAGAGATTATCGCAAAAGAAGCAGACAGTGCATGCCTATACACTTCGGTTGGTAAAGATGAGGTACGGTTTTGGATTCTCAAAGCAATGGGAGCTATTCATTTTTCAAAGGAGAAAGTGAGCCTTGAAGCAAACGATGTGACCGGATTAGTCCCTGATTTAGATGAGTTTTTTAAAGAAACCTTTCGCAGCTTCGCCATTTTACCGGCCGAACAGAAATNATACAAAAAGGAAAGCATTTCTGTAAAGAGCTCATTGGACATCTAAGTTTAATAATCTGAGATAAGGCAGTGTAAAGTTCTCTCTTACTAAGAATTGAAAAGTTAAAACGCTTTAGGAGCCATTTTGTTTTAGTCATTATAGTCCAGCTAAGTTAACGACCCAAGCAGATTTTGACAATTTTTCAGTTTTCGAGCGCGATTTGTTCATCAAGCGAAGAAAATTTTGATCCCTTTCCAAAGGTGATTGATTTAGTTAGTCAATTGAAGGAAACTTTAATAAAATGTATGGAGCGGAATAGGATTTTTAATTAAATCATAAATTCTTAGAGATTTTTGCAAAGCTTTTGACAAGAAATAATGTGGTTCAACGTTCCAAAATAAAGATAACTTTCTTAAAACAGAAACATTTGTAATACTTATGCAGACCCGTGTATTCTCATCAGTAGATTATGTACTTATTGACTGAATTAAAGGGCTGGACGGGAAAATATTCGCCTCAGGGTCATGACGTAAGGACCGGGCGTAGCGAGGTCCATGCGTCATGATCGAGAACCAAACATTTTCCTGTTCAGCCCGACCTCATTCAGTCAATAAACATTTTATCATATGACCTCTGACTAAGTTTTGAACAATTCAATAAGGTTTGTTTTAGCTTAACAGGACGGGATTGACTGCCGCGCACGGGTAAAGTAAAAAAAAAAAAACAATAAAATTTTCCCTATATTTTTTCCAGTCGGAAGAAGAAACTCATAATTCATCGAAAACCGTGATTTGCTTTCTCTTTTTGTTTCACTGCTTTTACTGGCTTTTTTGTAACAGCAGTGAGCAGAGTCGCGTTACAAGTACACTACAGCTGGACGGCTTTTTCTGGACCGGCTTACGTCAACCCGTCCGGCCCTACACACGTGAGCTTTCACTACGGTTTTCTATGAGATTGCGCGAGCGGAGCCGAACAGGTTGTATGATAAACCCTTGTAAAGACCTGTAATTGTCTTGATTTTGTTGATACCCTTAGATATAGATGCCCTTGAATGCATCCTCACACAGCCCCTTGGACGTTCATAGATACCGCTGTAATGTTATGAGTTTTGTTGATACCCTTAGCTTTTATGTCCAAATCGAGCACTCTATTAGGATGACTCGTGTCTTGCAATAGTGCGAAGCTCACTAGTTTGAGCACTCTGGCATGGCCTAAATGGTACCACAAATGTGGACTCATGTGGAGAGAATTTATAGCTTCAGCCCCATTCTAGAATCAGCACTGCACTGATGAGGCCCAGGATTTACTCCTTCACCTCCACAGTATTCACTCTGCTTTGGGATTCTGCGCAGGATCACTCTTGGGGCACGGACTCTTGTGAGTATTTGTCTTTTGGT